GTGTGTGTGTGTGTGTGTGTGTGTGTGTGTGTGTGTGTGTGTTTTCTTCAACATACTCTGGGCTTTTCTCGTTGTTCTCTTTCTAAGTCTTTAAGTTGTAGGATTAGAGAGTCTATTAAAAGTTTTTCTTGCTTTTTGAGGTAGGCCTGTAGTGCTATGAACTTCCTCTCAGAACTGCTTTCACTGTGTCCCATAGAGTTGGGGTTGTTGTGTGTTCATTTTCATTTGTTTCCAGGAAGTTTTTTTTTTATTTCTTGATCTTATTGGTAACCCATTCATTGTTTAATAACATGCTATTTAGCCTCCATGTGTTTGAATGTTTTTGAGTGTTTTTACTGTAGTTGATTTCTAATTTCATGCTATTGTGGTCCAAGAAGATGCTTGATATTTCAATCTTCTTGAACTTGTAGGGACTTGTTTGGTGTCCTAACATGTGGTTNTTCTTGAACTTGTAGAGACTTGTTTTGTGTCCTAACATGTGTTGTATCTTTGAGAATGTCCCGTGTGTACCTGAGAAAAATGTGTATTCTGCAGCTTTGGTGTAGAATGTTCTGTTAATGTCAATTAAGTTTATCTGATCTAGTGTGTCATTTAGAGTCACTGTTTCCTTGTTGATTTTTTTATCTGGAAGATCTATCTAGTGAAGTCAGTGGGGTGTTAAAGTCTCCTACTATGACTGTTTTGCTGTTGATCTCTCCCTTAAAGTCCTCTAGAAATTTTTTTATAAATTTAGGTGCTCCTATATTGGGTGTATATATGTTCATCAGGGTTATATCCTCTTGTTGGGTTGATCCCTTTAGTATTATGTAGTGACCTTTCTTGTCTCTTGTTATGGCCTTTATTTTGAAGTCTATTTTGTCTGATATGACTATTGCTACCCCAGCTTTTTTTTCATTTCCATTGGCATGGAAAAATTTCCATCCCATCACTCTCATCCTCTGTGAGTCTCTTGTTCTGAGGTGTGGGTTTCTTGTAGACAGCAAATATTTGGGTGATGTGTTCTTATCCACTCAGCCACCCTGTCATTTGATTGGAGCATTTAAGCCATTTACATTTAAGGTTATTATTGATAGGTACTTAACTATTGCCATTTTATTTCTTTATGCCTATGTTTCTTTATTTCTACTTCTAATTATAGCAGTCCCTTTACCTGCAATGCTCTTTTGGTGGTGATAAACTCCTTTAGCCTTTTTTGTTCTGGGAAGCTCTTTATTTCACCATCTATTTTGAATGACAGCCTTGCTGGATAGAGTGGTCTTTGTTTCAGTTCCTTGTTTTGCATTACCTTGAATATTCCATGTCATTCCCTCCTGGCCTGTAGAGTTTCTGATGAGAAGTCACCTGACAGCCTTATGGGAGCTCTTTTGTAGGTAACAGCTTGCTTTTCTCTTGCTGCCTTTAAGATTCTGTCTTGAATTTTTGGCATTTTAATTATGATGTGTCTGGGTGTGGGCCTCTTTGGGGTCTTCTTGCTTGGGACCCTCTGTGCCTCCTGAACTTGTGTGACTTTTTCCTTCACCAGGTTAGGGAAGTTTTCTGATATTATTTCTTCAAACAAATTCTCCAACCCTTGCTTACTTTCTAGAACTTCTGGCATTCCTATGATGCAAATATTGTTACATTTCATGTTGTCCCAGAGCTCCCTTCGACTGTCCTGTTTATTGTTTTTCCTTTTTACTTCTTGGAGTGATTTTTTTCTACCGTGTCTTCTAATTCACTGATCTGATCCTCAGCTTCCTCTAACCTACTGTTTATTCCTTCCAGTGTATTCTTTATTTCTGTCATTCTTAATTTCCTTCACAGCTTCCATTTCTTTTCTCATGCTGTTGAGCATCCTTACAATCAGTATTCTGAACTCTGTATCTGATAGGTTATCTCGATTTAATTTAGCTCTTCTTCTGGAGAATTCTCTAGTTCTTTCATTGGGGGCTTATTGTTTTGTCTCCCCATTTGACTGCCTGTTTGGGTTTGTTTCTATGTATTAGGCAGATCTGCTAGGACTCCCAGTCTTTTTGGAGAGTCTTTGGTATAGGCCAATGTCAGACGCTGTTTATGACTCACTTTGAATACCCTGGTTGGAGCTATCAACAATCCCTGGCTTGTGGTTCCCTCTTCTGGGGCTGAGTCCGGGTCTGGGTCCAGTTTGCTGTTTTGAATGGGAAGTTTCTAGTGTTTCTTCTTCAACCCGACTAGGAGCCTGTCTCTGTCTCACCCTCACTGACCTACATGTTCAGCCTCCCTGGTCTGGGCCCCTTACCTCCCTCGTCATTTAAGGTCCTCTGTCTGGCTGTGCACCCCCTGCCTTGCCCCCAAGGGCCCTCACTATCCCCTGGGGCCCTCGCTCTTCCCCCAGGGTGCTCACTGTCCCCCTGGGGCCTGCACTCCTCCCTGGGCCCTCGCTATCCCTAGGGGTCTTCATTCTTCCTCCCAGGGCCCCTCACTATCCCCTGGGGCCCTCACTCTTCCCCCGGGGCCTCACTGTCCCCCACCCTCCAGGGCCCTCATTGTCCCCTGGGGGCCTTCACTGTCCCCCAGGGCCCTCACTTTCCCCTGGGCCCTTGCCACTGTCCTCTCCCTACACTTACACTTGCATGCAGTGCAGCTCACCTTTGCCCGGATGATAAAATGACCTTTCTATTGGAGTGTAGTATTCTCTCCTGATTTC